GCCATTTCCTACATGATGAAAAAGTATTAGGTGTCCCAAGGAACAGGGTCATCAATACAAGAGAAGACCCTGAGAGACAAAAATCTTCTCATTAAATTACCCTAAATCTAAATTCAAAATAGTTCTCAGAATCATTTTTTAACCAAATTGGACCTTCATCAATCCATGATCAAGAACTCACTGAATCCAACAGCTTCAGCAGGCACCCACTACGGGCATTTTTAATACCCTATGCAAAATTTCATTTTAAAGTAGACTTCAGGAACCTCAGAAAGTAGACTTTCATCTCTCACACCTTTAACACACTTTATTTTCCCAAATGCCAAAATTGCAAGTCTCTTCCCTGTTTGAAAGAGCAAAAGGCACACAAATCAAGTGCTAGCCTAGTTTATCTAGAGCATAACCAAAGCACTGTTAAAAAAAAGAGTTGGAGGGAGGTTGGGGAAGCAGTGAAACTGAAATTACAGGCTGTCATGACATCTCAATATCGAAAACTGAATACCTGGTTCCACAGGACAGCGGCGTTTTATTCACAGTCCCGCTACTAAGCAACTGTAACAATGGCTGCATCAGCTTTCTTAGAAGCTAGAACAGTTAAGGGGCTGGAGATCTAAGAAAAATGGGGACACTCGTGCTTTGGGAATCTTTATCTTAAGATAAACTCAATGTAAAAACAAGCCAACAAGCAAAACCAAAAACTATCTAAACTTAACACAAGCAGTTCCTTAAAGGACAAGGAAAGTGCAAGCTACTATGTACCATTCACTTTAATTTCAGTTTTGTTTAATTTCAAAATTCGCATTTAACTGGCGATAATGATTTCCTTACTGTGTTGCCTTTGTGGTCCCCTTCTTTCCCTCACCCTCTCTGGGATTTTTTTTTCAAATTTCCTTGCTGATTAAAAGAACATTTTGGACCTCTTACATCCATTTCTTTGTTTACAGAAGCTATAAAAACTAGTTTACAATTGTTTCATGTTGCCTCAGCTTTGAACCAAGAACACTCTTGGACATCAAACTATTCCTTTGAAGGGAACAGTTTCTGAGAACCAGACGCTTTCCCAGCCACTCCCTGAAGTTCAGACAACCAGAGCTTGCAAATGTCAAGTCTTTTTCAAAGTTAGACTATACAATGTGGGTTAGATTTGAGGTGGGGGGCCGAGGTGTGGTGC